AGCAGCGCCAAGCAACGCCAAGCAACGTCAAGCGGCGCCAAGCAACGCCAAGCAACATCAAGCGGCGCCAAGCAATGCCACGAAATGCCAAGGAACGCTTAGCAATGCAATACAATTAAAACCAAAGCACGACGCCAATCAGCTAAGCAACGCCGAGCAACGCCAAGCAACGCCAAGCAAGGACACACAATGCCACGCAACGCCAAGCAATGCCACGCAACGCCGCGCGGACAGGAGGTGTCAAGAGGTGCCAAGCGACGTGCCCATGCGATAAAGTTCAGCACCCCGCCGTTGCGGAGAAGAGTGGGGGGGCGTCGGGGACGTCGGCAGTCTGCGAGGCTCTGACGAAGCCCGCCGCAGAGGCATACTTTTTTTCAAACTAATATCAGAGTGAGGAGGCTGAACCGAACGGTCATTCACTGTCCCTGGGTGCGCGGCTGAAGTGGAATTCCGCGTTGCGGATTATTGTTGTTGTTGCTGTTGTTGTTGTTGCTGCTGTTGTTGTTGCTGCTGCTGTTGCTGCTGTTGCTGTTGCTGTTGCTGTTGCTGTTGTTGTTGTTGTTGTTGTTGTTGTTGTTGTTGTTGTTGTTGTTGTTGTTGTTGTTGTTGTTGTTGTTGTTGTTGTTGAACTCTCACTCTTGAAGAATAATTATTGTTGATCCCCCCCACCGGTGCACATTGATTTTTTTCGATTGTAGTGCCACCCCCGGGGCTCGCACCTTGTTTTTTCTCAAGGAAAATCTTCCTGCTCAAACTATGCCCCTGCCCCCCGGGCTACAACAACAACAACGGCGCCCGCCTGAGACTTCCTCGGCTTTTACTCAGGAGCCCCGCTCCCGCCTGAGACTTCCGCGCAATTTACTCAGGAAAGGCGCTCCCGTCTGAGACTTCCTCGCAATGTAATCAAAACCCCCGCTCCCGCCTGAGACTTCCGTGCAATTTACGTGGGAACGGCGCTCCCGCCTGAGACTTCTTCGAATTTTACTCAAGACCCCCGCTCCTGCCTGACATTTCCGCGCAATTGACTCAGGAACGGCGCTCCCGCCTGAGACTTCCTCGCAATTTAGTGAGGACCCCCGCTCCCGCCTGAGACTTCCGTGCAATTTGCTCAGGAACGGCGCTCCCGCTTGAGACTTCCTCGCAACTTAGTCAGGGCCCCCGCTTCCGCCTGAGATTTCCTCACAATGTACTCAGGACTGCGCTCTCGCGTGCGACGTCCTCACAAATTATTCTGGAATTGCGTTTCGGCGCTCAGGAACCACGCGCGCGCCAAGGACGCCTTCACAACGTGGTATCTTCCCTCTTCCTTCGTCCTTCCCCCCCCCTTCCTCCCACTCTCCCTCGTTCTTCCCCTCCTCCTCTTGCAGGGCCCGCGCCAATTCCAATGGCGGGCAGAGAGATGTACGCCCCCGAAGGATTGTCCGCCCGTTCCGGTTTGCCCGTACGTCTAAGCCCGCCGGCCCCAGCAAAGAGAAATAATCCCCCCGAAAGGGGTGTGATCGAAGACGAAGAGGGCGGGCATCGAGGGTGTAGGGTATACGTGATGAATGACTCGCGGGCAAGTAAGAGCGTACAGCCTTAAAATGGTTGTTGTTGTTGTTGCTGCTGCTGTTGTTGTTGTTGTTGTTGTTGTTGTTGTTGTTGTTAGTGTTGTTTGTGTGTGTGTGTGTGTTTGTTTGCTTGTTTGTTTGTTGTTTGTTGTCGTCGTCCCACCCGCGACCCGCCCCGCGACACACCCGCGACCCACCCAACGACCCACCCGCAACCCACCTGCGACCTTGCCCACGACCCACCCGCGACCCACCCCGCGACCCACCCGCGACCCACCCGCGACCCACCCGCGACCCACCCCGCGACCCGCCCGCGACCCACCCCTAGACCCCCCCGGCGACCCACCCGCGACCCACCGGCGACCCACCGCGATCCATCAGCGACCCACCCGCGACCCACCCGCGACCCGCCCGCGACCCACCCACGAACCACCGCGACCCACCCGCGACCCACCCCCGCGACCCACCCGCGACCCACCCCGCGACCCATCCAAAGTTTCCGGCGGCTGCGGCGGGTTTCTTTTGCATTCGTTCCAAATGGAAAACCTGCGACCTACCCGCGACCCAAACCGCGCCTGCGACCCACCCGCGACCCACCGCGACCCACCCGCGACCAATCCGCGACCCACCCCGCGACCCACCCAAAATTTGTGGCGCCTGCGGCGGGCTTCTTTTGCATTCGTTCCAGGTGGAGTACGTGCGACCCACCCGCGACCCAAACCGCGTTCAGTGTACAAATCAAAATGTTCTGCGCCTGCGGCGGGCTATTTTTGAATAGATTCCAAGTGGAGGTAGAGAGCCCGCGACCCACCCGCGACCCAAACTACGTTCACTGAACAAGCCAAAAATTCGGCGCCTGCGGCGGGCTGTTTTTGCATTCGTTCCGGGTGGCCCACCAGCGATCCCCCCCGCGCTGAACTTGTCAGAGCACGACGACGACGATGAGGACGAGGACGCGGACGAGGAAGAGGAGGAGGAGGAGGAGCAAGAGGAGGAGGAAGAGGAGGAGGGCACCAACGACAGGGAATGTGAAGGCCACGAGGTCCGCCGGCTCGACGCCCGCGTCGCCCGCGCCCGCCCCCTCACTCTTATCCGCAATTGCGGGGTGCTACGTAACGAGCCCGCCGCAGGCGCCGATTTTTTTTGGGTTCAACGTGGGTCGCGGGTGGGAGGCGGGTGGGTCGCGGGTGGGTCGCGGCTGGGTCGCGGGTGGGTCGCGGGGTGAGTCGCGGGTGGGTCGCTGGTGGGCCGCGGGTGGGTCGTGGGTGGGTCGCGGGTGGGTCGCGGGCAAGGTCGCGGGGAGGACGACGACAACAAACAACAACAAGCAATAAACAACAAACAACAAATTACCCCAGTGCGACCCTACCTAGAAGTTGGAGCCCCCTAGGAAAGCAACATTAGTTGCTATGCTATGCTATGCTATGCTATGCCATGCTATGCCATGCTATGCTGCGTTATGCTATGCTATGCTATGCTATGCTGCGCTATGCTATGATATGCTATGCTATGCCATGCGATGCGATGCTATGCTGTGCTATGCTACGCAATGCTATGTCATGCTGCGCTGTGCTATGCTAAGCTATGCTATGCTATGCTAAGCTGCGCTATGCTATGCTGTGCTGTGCTGTGCTGCGCTATGCTATGCTATGCTATGCTACGCTATGCTGCGATATGCTATGCTATGCTGGGCTATGCTATGATCTGCTGTGCTGCGATATGCTATGCTACGCTATGCTATGCTATGCGGTGCTCTGCTATGCTAAAGCTGAGCGAAACTAAGACGAAGGTAAGCTAAGCTAGGATAAACCCGAGCTAAGATGAAGCTATGCTAAGCTAAGCTCAGATGTAGTAAGCTAAGCTAAGATGAGATAAGCAACGCTAAGCTAAAGGGACGTAACTGGGGGAACCGCGGGGCGGATGCTGGGGGAACCGCCCGGGGCGCGTTCCACTGCCCGGCCCCTTTAAGCTAAGAGAGTAAGAACCCTTCTAGGCAGAGCCTAGGTAGGGAACAACCACAAAACGACAATCCGCACCGCAGAACCTCATTTCAACCACGCGCCCAAAGACATGGAATGACCGTTCGGTCCGCTCACTCTGATATTTCCCCGTAATTGTGGTCGCGCCGGGCTCGTTTACTCTCCACTCTCTGTTCGCTGCCCTCCCCCTCTACGCTTCATTTCTACCCTGCACCTTCTACCCTGTTCTCTACACTGTCAGTCTTCTACTCTCTACACTCCCCTCCCATTTCCTGGCCCTCTACTCTATCTTCTCTGCTTTCTGCACTCTGCTCTTTGCTCCATGCTCTACTCTCTACTCTATACTCTCTCTATCCTGTCTTTCCAACCGCTCTACTCTCTCTCTCTCTCTCTGTCTCTCTATCTCTTCCTAACACTACTGGAAGATCAAACGGTCTCCGCAATTGAATTTTCAAGCGGTGGAGTCATACTATAACATACTGTAACAAGTGATAACAATGAGTAACGCTATGTCACGTGTCGGAGGAGGAACCAACACAGCAGAGATGGAAATCGCCACGACGATTGGGGTGTCCACCAGCAAATTCGCCGGAGATCCCAATCACCTTGTCAAAGAATGCGCACAAAGGTCCGGGACTCCGTGGTGGCATTCTTGCATCGACGACAATCTTGATCGGGGCCGCCTGCAAGCTGAGAAATGGTCGGCCATGCTTCAACTGTGGGCTACGTGCTGCTGCCACCCTCGTGACGATCGACGCGCCGCAATCGCCAAAAGACGCGTGCCATCAAATCCGAACACCAACATTATGGATCTCACTTCGAAGACGCAACATTCTAACCACACCTCGGGTCCAATCTCTGAGACTCCGGCTCAATATCGGATTTGCTATGCGATTTCTGATCTAAGCCCCCCTGAGATGGTTGACGGGCGCATGTCTTCAATCGAACGGAACCGCTGAACGCACACACATTGACAATCGCTATGCCTAACTTTGGGCCGGATCCGCTATTTAGTTTGCGCCCCTCGGGGTCCCTGATGCGCGTAGATCCCTGCGAATAGACTGCACGGTCTGGGTGCAAATTCGATAACGTTTCCGCGATTGTACTGCTCGTTTATCACGGTGCCTTGTTTAGGGGAATTGACCAGAAAGTTCTGCCTGCGACGGGCATCTCACACAAATGCCATGACTCGCGCAGGATCAGATACTCAAAACTAACGTTCCGACCATACGGGCATGAAATGATCTCTGGCTGTGGCTTATTTGGCCTGCTTCTTTCGCAGCATGATCCCTTTACCTCAAGGAGCTCTTACTCGGAGAGCGAATTTATTACAGTCTCCCTGAAAATCGTTGACCTTTTTTCTGGCACTCCGACATCTTTTCCGATCAGCGACGTTCACCTTGACTGACCTCGCCATACGATTAGTGTGTTTCAGGGTGCCTCTGAAGCGCACGCGGATCATGATCTGTTCGTGTCGATGACGACGGACATGAATGCATGGTGAATCGACAAACATTTCGCAATGGCAATGCTCGTGCACGCCACTAGTCAGCGCCGGATCGCAAAAACCATGACCTTCGCCATTGCCCTCCAGCTTCTCTTTGCTCTCGTTGTCACATGAGCCAGAAATTGACCGAATCGGCAAGACGTGGAATGGCGATGACGATGATGACGGCGATGGCGGTCAACAGGATGGTTTTTCGACGTGTGTCACCTTCTCGCATACAAATTGGCTACGTCGGACGTGTGTGAGAATGGTGCGTGTGAGATTTCCCGAGGAGACGGCAGAAACAGTATTCCCGCCGCCGCGCTTGCAGCAGTTGGTGTGCTTCATGGCTTGTTACCTTTGGAAGTACCAACTCGTGTGCATTGAACCTCGCCGCACGGACTCACATACATATCCATGCTCAACATTCCTTGGCTTCGGAGAACTCTGCTCTGTCTGTCCTGAGGCCCGGTAGCCGTAACGTCCTCTAGCCCTGGTGCCCTGGGACTCTTCGGGGATTTCCTCGGGGTTTGCCTTGGCTCTCTGAAGTCCCTGGGGCTGCTCGGGTTTTCGTGTTTCGTGGGTTCCTCGGACTCCATGCGCTGCCTTGCACTGCCTTGGCGCTGCAATGTGTTAGCATGGCTTTGCAATTGCATGCGGTGCACTGCATTGCTTTTATAGCTTATTGCGCTGCGTTGTTGCTTTGCTTTGGGTTCCCTTGCTTTCGATGGCTGGGATGGTGACTTGGAACGTGTGGAACTGCCCTGCCTTGCAATACATGGCACAAATTTGAATTGGACTGCTTTGCAGTTCATCACGCTGCGTTGCTCTGCAATGCATTGCGCGAGGCACATCACAGCAGGTAGCGGCACATGGCATCCTCATGTTTTATATAGTTGTTGTTGCTTGTTTTTGGTTTGCTTTGCTTTGCTTTGTTTTGCTTTGTCGTTTCTTGAGGCGTTACCTTCTTCCATTTCGCGTGTGGACTGCCCCGGTCCCTCTTTATCAGGAGAATGTTCCAGTGAAGCTATACTGTAGGTATTACCAAGCTTAGAAGTTAAACGATCAGAACTTTAGATCCATGATTTCTTTCTTGTCCAGGCTAGGGCTTCTGCAGCGTATTCTCATTTCCAACATCAGGCTTCCACTTCTATTACTTCACGGATAAACGCCTCCATGTGTCACCAAGCTGTAACACCTGTAAGCATTATTCTAGAGTCTTAATCGGAGGGTAGGACGGGTCACCCCCCGATTCCGTTGCGCGCAATGCCTCATGCATACTACGGCGCGGAAGACACGGCGGGTCAAACCGTGTTTCTGCTGGGCATGGTGTGTGTGTGTGTGTGGCGCAACCTTCTCAATGGCACAAGGAGGCAGAACGGGATCGAACAGCGATTCCGTTGCGTACTGTCTGGCGCAACCTATGGCGCAACACATAGCGAAAATTCTGGCAGCCACCTGCGGCGCAACCCATTGCACACACATATCAATTAACAAACCTCGGCGCAACCGATGGCGCGTCGTGGGTCCAACTTCCGATTCCCTTCCCCACGTGCCGTGAACGTGCCGTAGGTCGAACTCGTGATTCGGTGGGGCGGTGCCGTGTTCGCCGTGCCGTGCCGTGTGCAGTGCCGCGCTCAGCCGTGTCGTGTTGTGACCTGTCGTGTGCTTGCGCGTGGGGTTTACGGCCCCTCGAGCCGAAAGCAACAGAGCTCCCCTTACAATACGCGGGGTGGGACATCCAGGCGCCCCGTGGTCTCAGGAGGCCGTCCAGGCTCCAGCGGCCCCGGCCCCAACATGACCCTGGATCGCCCAAGGAGGCCGCCAAGGCGGCATGCGAACGTCTTCAGAGGAGGAGGAGGAGGAGGAGGAGGAGGAGGACTGCTTCTTCTCCCAAAACAAACCCACTTCTGCTGCACAAGTCAAATCCGCCGACCCTTCTGCGTGTGGAAGGCGCTGTCGTCGTCGTCGTCGTCGTCGTCGTTACCGCCGTGGTCGTTCTGCCGCCGTCGTCGTTCTGCCGTCGCCGTCGCCGTCGCCGTCGCCGTCGCCGTTGTCGTCGTCGTCGTCGTCGTCGTCGTCGTCGTCGTCGTCGTCGTCTTCGTCGTCGTTCGTCAATCGTCGCAGAGTTCTCCTGCGCCCGTCGCAACTTTCCCCCTCCTTTCCCTGAGCCCTTCTCCTCGAGCTCGCCAGCCACAACGAAAAGAAGCAATGCCGCTCGCTATTTAGCCGAATGGAAACACCAAGGGCGCCTAACTTCACGCTTCGCGCTGCGCGAAGCGCAAAGCGCGAATAACTTCGCGCTCTCGCGCCGCCCCCCACGGGAGAACAGGAGGAGGAGGAGGAGGAGGAATCGGGGCCAAACCGCGAAGCGCGAAGCACGCAGCGCGAGTAACTTCGCGCCCTCGCGGGCGCCCTTGAAACACTCCCCTGCTTCCCTTCCCAACGGGGGTGGGGTCCCGCAGGGGGGGTCTTATGGGGAGGTCCTTGGGGGGGGGTCCGGGGGGCGGGTTTCGGGGGGGGGCCCGAGTCAGAGTACCATCCTCCTGGGGCCCGAAAAAAACCCAAGACAGCCCAAGAGGCCCCCAAAACGCTCATAATCGCTGAACGATCGGTCCAAGACGCCAGAGATGGCCTTCTCACACAGCCTTAGCGGCTGTCAAGACGCTCGCAGAGGCCTCGAGCACACGAAGAGGGCCCCAACAGGCAGTATTCAATGATTATCCGTAGGCTTTTGAAAGATACTGGCGTTCTCCCCTCTTCGGCTTCCCGAGGCCCCAAGACGGCCCAAGATGCCACCAACATCGGCACAAGATGCCCCCAAGAGGCCTCCGAGAGGTTTCAGAGATGGCCCCAGGACTACCCAAGAGGGCCCGAAGACGGCCCTAGAGGCCTCCCAGACGGCCCAAGAGGCCCCCCAAACCGCCAAAGGCCCCCAAGAGGCCCCCAGGAAGACCGAAGAGACCCCAAGCGGCTGCAAAGAGGCCCCCAAGATGCCCTCAAGAGGCCCAAGCCTGCGAGCGCGCTCCAAAGAGGCCCCACGAAGCATCCCTGAGGACTGTGCCCCACGTCAGCGTCGTCGTCGTCGTCGTCGCCGTCCGTCGTCGTCGTCGTCGTCGTCGTCGTCGTCGTCGCTGTCCGTCGTCGTCGTCGTCGTCGTCGTCGTCGTCGTCGACGTCACTGTCGTCGTCGTCGTTGTTGTTGTTGTGGTTGTTGTTGTCGCCGTCGTCGTCGTCGTCATGGTCGTGGTCGTGGTCGTGGTCGTGGTCGTGGTCGTGGTCGCCGTCTGTCGTCGTCGTCTCCTTCAGTCAGTGTGGCGGCACCGGTCGTAAGGCTTTCCCAAAATCCAAACACTGCCTCGAGATCACCGGAAGACTTGTTCGAGGCTGCGAGCCCTCCAGGAGGCTCCCCAGAAGCCGACGGCATCGAAGAATCCATGATCATCCGAATGTGTTGTCCACTGCGATTGGTTTGCCACCCTGGAACGCCCAGGATGCCTTCTGCTTAGCCTCTGGAAGCCCTTCGAGCCGCCGCGGACGGTCCCACAGGCCTCCAAGACGGCCCCGAGAAGGCCCACGGCTGGCCCAAAATTGTTCCCATATGGCCCAAGATAGCCCCAAGAACTCCTGTAGATGGCACCAAGACTCCCGCGGAGGGCCCGAAAGCTCCAAAAGGCCCCCGAACAGGCCCTGTCACTCTACGACGTTGCTACGCAGATTCCCAAGGCGCTGTGGCGGATATACACGGTAGCGCAGATTGATGAAGAGATTGGCCACCTTCACGCCACGAACGCGCAACACAGGCAAATCAGAGACCATATCCACACTGATACATTTTGCGCGAGAGTGCCAGCTTTAGGTTTGAGCTCTGCAGGCTCCTCCTCTATTCCACCACCACACGCGCAGCAAGCCTCGTTGGCTGTCTTAGTGAAGAAAGCGTTGCCAGCTCCATAATGCTTGCAGCGCTCCTCCTTGGCGAACCAGTCGCAATCTGCTGCTGGTCCTAAGGAAGAGTACCATTTCGCGTGCCCCTCGGGCACCCAATTCTTACAAGCGGTGGCTTTCGATGTGACTGACGCTCTAGGGCTAGATGTGGTGTCGACCGAGACTGGGGCCATCGACGTCGTTGTCGCTGTCTTCCACTTAGGCGTCCAAGACGTGGTCCCAGTGCCGTACTCCTCTGTCCAATTGCCAGTCTCGTACGGAGCTGCCTTCGCCCCGGTCGACGATGTACCATTGCGTCGCCGTGCATTCAACTGTAAGTCTACGACTTCTAGCTGGAGGCCATCGTGGCTCTGCAAAGCACCTGGAGCCGTCTTGCGACCAATCGACCTTGCTCTCGCGGCACAAGCTGGCACCCTCCACATCAGAAGCACTGCGAGGCGAACGGCTGGTGTGCAAGTCGGCAACCGAATGCCTCCTCCTGTGGCACGGCGCCCATCAGCCCACGTGTAACAACTCGGCGGTCCCCCACATCTCTTCATTGAACTGGGGCGAGTCCCTTGAGCTAGCCAACTGCGGAAAGACGGCGACAAGCAGTACGAGCATCCTGGCGAAGCATGGGCTTGCACTTCCCAAAGCATGCAACAACACCAACCGGAGTGGCTTCTGCATGTGGGCCTGTGCCAGCGGCGTCTCGAAGAGATACAATAGAACGCGACGAATCAACTTCAGATAGACACGATCGGTACCGATTGTCATGGCCTGTTGAGATTGGAAGAGGGCGCGAGAGAGTGAGAGAGAGAGAGAGAGAGAAAGAGAAGGGAGAGAGGGAGAGAAAGTTCGACAGATAGCGGGGGAGAGAGGGGACGGGCTTGCATCACATTGATCCGCGCAGTGCTGCTGCTATCTAGCCTAGAAAGAATAGCCGTTCGCACACGGGTACTCTGTCAGCGTCGAAGTACCAATGCCCTCCGCAAGCACAGTGGACGCAACTCTCGATCGAACCGACTCTTCCAGTGCACCGCGTGAATATCACACTTGGGC